GAGGATAGACTTATCACCTATATGTCAGACTCTAATGAAGCAAAACCGATGAAGGCGAAAAACAAACAAATTAATCTTATATTATCATCATAGTATGAAATATCATCATGTTTTGACGTATTTTCCACATAACAAACAACACACACACACTCATACAGAAAAAATAGGCAAAGATGACAATTCGACACTAGTCATTACAAATATGCAATTACCGTTCACACTTTTCGATTGGTACATAGGCAGGCCTACCAACAAGTGACTTTCAAAGGAACTGACTTCAGTTTATGTAATTTTCGATTATATATTCTGATGCCTAATAAAAATCTGAATAATTCGGCTGGAGAAACTGTGGTCTACACAGCGAAACCTTCAGAAAAATCTTGTTTTGGTTTCTTCTTGAACACACTGGGATTATTTTAAATAATTTTAATGATTCATTCTGTCTTGGCACTCGAATTATTCCAGGAAATTCGTAACATCTATGGTCTGGAAACATATATTCAATAAGAGACTGGTCCGCATGTTAGTCAGGTGTTTCTTTAAAAGAGCTGGGTTTTAGTTCCCAAGATATTAACTTATTCCAAAAGCGCGTTTAACTATTGATCCAGCGGAGTGTGATGGTTGGCCAGCTAACTTGTTGTTCGGATAGGGTTTGACTTACGCCGTACTGTGAAAACTATCTCCATCTTTATGTTTTCCAGTGCTCATTGTAGCCGAAACCCCATTCTGACTCGAGTGTTCTTAGGCGAATTGGTGCTACACTCAGTAGAAGTCAATTTGAAATAAGTGGGAGGTTTTCTAAAATTGGGTTAAGGCACACTTTTTTTACAGTGGAACTTCTGTTTCACAGTAAAAAATTAACAGAGATCCACTCTAGAAGCCCTCGTGTTTCAAAGATATTCTTACGTCTAATAATGTACCTGCAAACACTAAAGTTGTGCTTAATACCCCAATTTACATTTTGTGTTGATTAGACCTTTCGTCGTTCATCGGACTGTCGTACATCCTTTGTTCGAACGCACACTTTTGTTAGTTGTGATCCACTTTTGTGTTCAGCCACTGTGACATTGGTACTTGGATGCTGGGTAATCTCATGTTTGAGGATTTGTATCATCTGATACGTTTCGCCTAACAAAACAATAAATCTTGCAGTTTTTTCAGCGGTTTCGGCTTCAGTATAAGTCTACTGGGAACCACTTGGTTTTACTTCAGATTTCGTTGAAGACTGTGAACGAGTCTATATCTTTGGAGTTATTCGTACATTGTCTGTAACAATGTTATAGTCAATTCGTTCTCACAAAGCTACATCCCTAAAGTGTCTTGAAGCTAGATCTAAGAGTGACTTGAGTTTTGGTGGCTTTATCCACTTACTTCAGAGATTGAGTTAAGACTGTTGTTACCTGTGCACACCAGTCTGCATTTTCCATGTTAAATCTCAGGCAGAAGTCGGCATACAAGGACACAACGTCACTTTTCATCATCATAATGCTAGGGAACCCAGATTCGGCTTCGTTTGTTCGTCAGATAAATAACTTCGCCCATTGAAGTGATAGGTTGCGAGTCCCCAAGTATCACAAATTCCTAAACAGTGTACTTTGTTGCGTTATGCATAACACCCCTGAATATCGTATCACTATTGTAGCATACACATCCAGAAGATGGTGTATGCTTCGAGACATTACCTACTGATGTATTTCCTTGCTTTTGGAATGAGATAGTTATTGTGCTTATTTCCAACAGCCTTGTTAAGAAGAGAATGCTAATCATCATAATAAGACTTACGCCTCCTAAATTTGTTTTTATGTGGTGACTAGTACGTATACGAAACGTCTTAGACCTACGTTTTGGTAATGATCACATTTTTTTAAAGTTTTTATCTCAGCGACACTACAATTTGAGTCAGTTTTCACCTGTATTGGTGAGAGAACCAGTGGTGCAGTCTGTTAGTATCATCATCGGCAGTGAAGGGGTGACTGAAACGTTCTCTGCATTTACAAGACATATTGCCTCGACATATAGTAACTGACTCACTGTGTTGTACTGAACCTAACAACACAGCGAGTTCTTGAAGTAGTACAAGCTAGTTAGCATCATATGAGTTACTCAGCCTTAAGTTTGTTTGGATAACTAGGATGAGAACAAATGCATTTATAACCACAGTGAACATTTACCATGGCAAGGAGTTTCAAAGCCTTGATTTCGCTGCCAACTTACAGACACTGGGTGTGGTGCATCATAGGCTACTGCTTGTTGGAATGACATTATACGGCATTACTTAGCTCTGGTTCTTCACTTCAGCATTCACAATAATAGCGTTTTAATTTGGACACTCTGATTGTTTGCACACAAACAAGGCAGTGGTCTAAATTACCTGAGTACTGCAAGTATTAGAAGACAGTTGCTACTAAACAAGTAAATTTCCAAGGTGTGATAATTGAAGCTCCTTGTAACTGAGGTTTGTATTTCTTTTGAATTAAAGATTGAAATATTTGGTGTAGTTGAGATTATAAGAACGACAAAATTCAGAGAAGTCTGTTTTCGGCGAATTCATTCACTTAGCTGTACAATCTCACTTATATATGTTTATTAGGACTGTCGAACAAAAATATAATAAAAATTAGTTGGGGTTACTGTTTAGGTCACAATAACAGGATATGAGGAATATGTCCCCACCATCACATGCGCTGAATAGCTATCAATACTCTCCCACCTTTTAACATTCAAAGTCTCGGAAAAATTCTTCATTTTTATTATTATGTACTACACAGACTGTTTGTACATTCGTTTATTAACTATCATTGAAATTCATGGTATGGAAGACAACTTTCTGGAGATCATCTTGGATGTCTCAACTGCTACAGCATTTCTAAAATAATTGACAAAGATGTAGGAAAATTAGACGGTTGAGAATAACATCCTGCAGCGAAATACGAATCCTGATTTCTGAAAAGCCTACTGGATACCTACAGTAGTCCTGCTGGTCAGCATAAATGTTTTGTAATAACGAGTGTTGTCCAATGGAGTCTATGGTAATTGTGACATTTGTTGAGTTTTAGAAGAAAGCTACTGATAAGAAACATTTGAAAGGAGGTTATGAAGGCTCAAAGCATGAGGGATTTCATCATGAGCGCAACTAACTTGGAAATTATGGATCACTGGACAGATGCTACTCTCTGATTGGAGAATACTCAGTATGACTGTACAAGTGGGCGAACCCATAACATACCGTTTATGAGGGTAGTACGCTTACCAATCCCGTGCCACATGAATTCCTTCTTCTGTCTACTTGTGATGGAGCTCCTGTTGAACTCAGTGTCATCTCTTAGTACATGAGTTCACAGGTGATTCAGTAACTCAAACAAGTCACAACTCCTTATTAGTACTCTAGGAGTCAGTGGGCCAGTGGATTCCAACTGAGTAGTGTAGAGGTTCTGCGTTCGATTACTCGTAGGGACATGAGTGCTCACTGCTGAATAATGTTCAGCGAGAGAGAAACAACTCTTCAGTGCTTCATGATTTTTGGTTCTCCTTCAATTGACTTCGGTTACCAAGGGACTTATTTCAGAATCAAAGTAGTCTCAATGTACATATATATATATATATATATATATATATATATATATATATATATATATATATATATATATATAACATGAATTGTGCAAATTTCCGCTCAACTATTCAGTCACTTTATAAACTATTTCGTCTTCGACTATCTGATTAGAGATACTCATTCATAATCCGAAATTGTATTGGTTACCTAATCGATTACTTAAAATATTCGATTGATTCTTAAATGTTGATATACCTTGTAGCGGTAAATAATTCCCCAAAATTAATGACCACAGCAATCACTCATCATTGGATGCTGACCACCACTGTTTAAGTCGACTTGTTTAGCTGAAGGCTTCCGGTCAAGCACCCCGCCATTTGGTACGCCGTCGTGTCACGTGCACGATCACTAGCCAGCTAAGCGTTCGTCTGACGGCTTGTTTAGGTCCCGAAATATATCACGTAGTTTGGACGATCAAATATTGGCTTTTGCTTTGTTTTTGGTGCGCGAGAATAAATAAGTTATAAGTTGCTGAACAAGAGATTCGGTCAACCTCTAAAAACTTATGTGTAGAGGTTCGTAGGGGAGTGTTATGTTAAGCTATCACTATACCGAAACAGCTTCATCTATTCTAAGCACTGGGCTTCTTCAGATCATTGATGTGCCCTAACTATCAGGAAAACTAGAGGAGACTAGGTGTGTTCACATTAAATCTGATGAATTATTGTTTAGATATGGCCGTTTACAATGACAATTTGTGAATGAACAGATTGATATCAAGTATTAAATACAGTAATAAAAATGAGTGTTATGAAGGTCAATAAACTCATGAAAATTTGACAGTCAAGCAATAAAGCCATTAGTTTAAATCGAAACCAATAGTTATAGTTATTTCCTCTTAGATTTATCCACTTTATTACTTTTCTGTGCCAGTTGATTTCTGCCATTGTAAGGACCTAATAAAGACTGCAGTAATATTCAAATTTCACGAATATTCATAAATTTCATACAACCGGTTCCCTTTATTAGTTTGAAGAGAGAAAGAACGAACATGTTTGCAGGATAATACGAGCTCGTTTTAGGGTGTATGCAGTTGATGAGTATCCACGAAATAAAACGAGCTCGTATTATCCTGCAAAAATGTTCGTTCTTTCTCTCTTCAAATATTCATAAAGTCTGAACTTTCATTATTCAGTAAATTAATGTCACGAAATAATGGATACTGCTTATCACTAAGGTTGACTTAGAATATCTATTTTGGTCCTTAATTAAGGTATGTTCAGACCGATATTTCTGAGAGAATATCAAATATGCCTTCCGAGAAATCTTCCCACATTTCATAGAAAATCTTCAAGATTTATATTCTGGATTCTCCACCGAGTGTACTTTGATAAATTTTGTCTTCAATTGCAGACTAATAGTGAGCTTATTCTTCTTCATTTCGCAGATGATAGCCTGAGTACCTTCTCCCCAGTGACGTTGAACTGTGCTAAATTCTGATTTCGTCGTTTCAATTCTTAAACAAATACTAATGTTGAGTGAAGCGTCTCAAGGTTACAAATTAATTACTCTTGTGTTAATTGTACTCCTGATTATCTGGCTGATAATTCTTGCACCTGGTTCATATTTCTTGAATTCAGAGCCAGAAAACAGATTGATATCGCCTGGAATAAATGAGTCGGTACTTCAAACAAATATGATTCATGTGCTAATCAATCTCAGTTAGCTGCTATCCTACACACAACATATTCCACTCAGACAATATCAGCTGTTCAGAAATATCCCCTGTATTTTAGTTTAGAAGAAGAAAGGCTGAAACAGCTGTATGACACAATAAAAGGAGAAAAGAAAGTGAGTGAACTCTTCTATCTAAACAATGTTAATCTGTTATTCTCCATCAAACACCAGAACATTATAAAGTAAATATAAATGTGACCATGACAACGATATTGACAAGATACTATATTATCTATTTCTCTACGTGTACACAGGTTTTAGCAATCTAAAATATAATGTTAAATTTACGACAACATTTACCTACTTTATTGAGTTTGGAGAAACTGTGGTCAGTGGACCAAACAAATTCATCAAAGAATATTGATTGGTAGGCTGTTACTAATTATTAGTTTCAGGTCACAAAATGAATATTAGTGACTGCTTCACAACTATTTCAGTTAACTCTAATTCAAGTTTATTAAAGGTGATGGAAGCACTGTTGTTTAATCACATACATCCTAAACTATGTACGTATAGTCCAAAAAAACAAAAACAAAAGACTTCAACCTTCACCTACCATGGACTACTTGACCTATTTAAATATGATTAGTCATTAGCATGTACTTTTGTTCAATATAACTGAATAAATATCAGGCATTTTATTATATTATTGTGAAGGACGCTATTTGTAAGGCGACTGTAGAGAAACTATGAAATAATATCATCTCGGAAAATTTGTCTTCTAAATGCCTTATTGAAATGCTGTTAATTGTTTAGAATGCAGCTTTTATACATAAAACTTTCAAGGTGTTGGTTCTTCGCCGTCTTTCTGAAAGAATAAATCTTACCTTTTATATTTTCAAGTATTGGTTTTGTAGGAATTTTGTTTTTGATTGGATGGAGGATTTCATCATGAGCTGACAAAAGTTAGAGAACCACTGGGTAACCCGGGAGAACTGGACAGCTGTTTCGTCCCATTTTGGGACTCTTCACCAGTACTTTTATATCTTCTTAGTGTGGGAATAGTTTTTGAGTGTTCATTATACACTGCTACGCTTCGAAGTACTCTGAGTGTGCAGGATTAGTCTTCACAGTCTGCCACTAGTCAAATCGAGTATTATTCAATCACTTCAATCGCCATTCTCAGTAGTATACTTTATTTAATCTCCTCACTGAAGCATGTTAGTGTGATCTGAAATAACATGGAAAGGAAACCTACTGACTGACACCGAACACCATATTCTAGGTAGCAGATAATGCTATCCTACTGGTATTTCTTTGTAAAAATTGTTGTTATGTTGATTATCGATGCGGTACATCTAGTCAGAGGTGTCTGTGAAGTGTTTAGCCAGTGCTTTCAACGTCATTCTAAGTCTTCTTTCTCATTGCTATTACCACATAAAGTACTAGAATATCTGCATTATTCACGGTATCGGTGATATTCTCTCTGAAAGATGGATGAATAAACAGATCGGTGATTATTCATGAAGATCTTGATCAACGTATCTTTGTTTCCTTCCTTTCATGTTATAGGTGAAGATTTTTCTCAATTATGGAAAGAGAACAATTTTTACACCTATGAATTTTTCCTACTGTCATGCGAAGGAGTGTGATGTCATTAATGAAATGGAAAGATGGCGAGAGGCTGATGGATTAATACTTACAGAAGACAAACTGCCGAATGGTAAACGTCCACCAGGACAATTATGGTTTGGACTTATACATGAACCTCCTCCACATATCTCAATGGCAAACTCCTGACGAATGAGGTCAGAAATAGTATTCTCTGGGATTATTATTATCATTATTATTTAAATATATACTGTGGAATAAACTGCTGTATATAAAGAGATGAGAAACTGTGAGCGAGTGCAGAACGTAGTAGAGCATGTCTGAGTTGAACATAGCTGAAATATAATTCCGTTTACTGAGTTGCTTCTATTACTCATCCAGGAAAACCTGCTTTTAGTCAACACTTACTTTTAAAGTGTTTCTCGAGTCATGAGGAAACACATTTTAAACCTTAATAAATGTCGAATTGAATTTTTGATTTTCCCGTCGATTGATTGGACCGAAGTGCTCGGTCTCAGGTTGATATGTCGTGTTTAAACGCATTCCACTTGATGATTAAATTCACAGCGTTTGTTGAATAACAGACACCATGATATTTTCAGAAACATTTTAGTGTAAATTTATAACTGACAAGACACACACACACAACTCGTTGTTTTATTTCCAGTGGTTAGTTCATAAGTCATTTCATATTTCTGTAGATAACTTAAATGCACTAGGTCCATATTCTTCTTCGGGTAGTGGGATTTAAATGACTTGTCAGTGTCATTCTTCTGGGCCAAGTTCAAATTTTATAGTAAGTATTCTTCTAGTCTGGAGTAAATTCAAGTGTCACAGGCATGTTTAGATTGTCTGAAGTTCTCCTAGATTTGGTATTTGATCCTTATTATGTTAATCACCAAGCTTATTGACACCTTCGCCACTAACAACATTATGTTTGAACGAATTGAGCTGTAGGTTGTTTTAAGATACCTGGTCAGATATTTTACAACACCAGAGACTTTTAGGAATTATGATTCAAGTTCATTACGTATCTGTTGGAGTAGCTGACATTGTGTATAATTCAGGATGTTTCATTCTCTGCTGTAAACAGTTTATTCTACAAAGGTAATATTCTGTCTTACCAATTACACCAAGGATAAGACCATAGAAATAGATGAATCAAGCATTTCAGTGTCAGTGAAACTGACAACGATGGTCGTTGGTTGGTTAACTTTTCCTAACATTCGCTGGCTTATATCTTCACGACTGGGTATCATACCAAAATTTAAAATTTGCCTAACTGGTAGTTTTACATGTGAAAATTTCGGCCTTTCTGAGACCTGAAATTGTTTACTTGCATGTATTTCCTAGATGACGAACAATAATACACTTCAGTCTGCTGTTTTTTTCTGTCAGACGTGTCAGCTGTCTAATGACTGCTGTACAGACCCCACATTCCACTTCGGTTAGTTTGTTTAACAGCTCAAAGCTGACTGTTTACAGCATGTCAGTAGAGCTGTGAATAACAGCTGGAGTCGCCTACTTGTGTTACCTACTTCAACATATTTATTCACATTCACACTGGGTTTTCTTCTCAATCTCTTCTTTGTGTTTGCAGGTGAACTTTAGCATATCTTATCGTTTCGACTCAACAGTTTATTCTTCGTATGGTTATTATGAGCCACATATCAAAACTCACGGACCAGAGACGAGATATCCACCACCGTCTCGTAATTTTGCGGCTGGGAGATCTAAGAAGGTGGCGTGGTTTGTAAGTAACTGTATAGCGACAAGCCCTAGAATAAAATACGCCAAAGAATTATCTCGACATATACCCGTGAGTGACTGCACAATTGTTCTATATATTCGTTTCATTATTATCATCGTACTGCTTCACTTTAGTCTTCCGCTCATAACGCTTACCATCTTAACCAAGGTTTTGTTTTCATATGGTAAATTTTTATTGTCGAACAATCGTCTTTTGTGGCTTAAATGGCTTTATACTGACTGACCATATCAGCAGCGACTAGATGGCCATGAAAGAAAACATTGGAAGCATGTGCAAAATGTTCCACTGAGTAGAAAATGAACATGTGTCTTTCTATACATTGACATTTGACTAGATTTTCAAAGTTATGCCCAACTACAACAGTGCAGTAATAATTGTTTATACGTAACAAGTATAGGAAATCCACTCTGATACACCATCAAACAAGCAAGTTCGTGCAATAAGCTCGGTAGATTTATCTGTTCGTTCATGTGTAATAGAAGTATTTAGATGTCACTTCTATTTACATTTCAAACAGCGTTGTGTCTTATATGATCCACTGAGGTTTCGTGATTGGTTTATTTATGTGCCACATGAAACCTAATTGTGTGAAACGACAATGTGCTGAAATATCTGCTCCGAAAATGGACAGTACGCAGCAGTGGTGAACTTGTTTCTTCAGTGAGTAATTATTTTGTTCTCATACCGCGTAATTTCTTCTAGTAAATATTTTATGGTTGGGTTTTATTCGACTCATAGGTTGACATATACGGTGGATGTGGCACGAAATCGTGTCCGAAGAATAAAGCAACATTTGCCTCAACGCCTGAATGCTTAACTACGATTCGTGAAAACTACAAATTTTATTTGAGCTTCGAGAACAGTTTGTGCACTGAATACATAACCGAGAAACTCTACAGAAATGCCCTCAAGTAAGTCACTTTTAAATGTTTACTTCTGTTTTTCAACAGACGAATCTAAATCTTCTCGATTCTGAAATGAATTCATTTTAGTGGTGTTTCTGTAAGAATTTTCCCACTAAATTACTTTCTTTGTAGTTGAAACAGCCTACGCATATTTCAGTATGTTCATATGCGTGCTAGTATAGCAGCATCGGTTCATAAAAGTTATGATAACGATGTCACAACTTATATTTAAGCAGGGTTGGTTCGGTATGAAATTTCCAAGATGTCTTGGCCTTCACATCCATATACTTACCAGAAAGCCTAAAGTTCCAAGCCACTTTGACTACACCCGATGATAAAATTAGACGTAACATTTTAGACTAAAACTCCGAGTGAAGAGCTATAAAGTTGTTTATTTTACGTTCGTAAACGTTTTCTTCATCTTATTGATGGATAGTGACTAGCAGTGGAATCCAGGATGTGGAGTTCGTACTGTTTGGGCATCGTCACCTGGAGGTAAACCTGAGATCAAGCACATCGGCCCTATCAGTCGACGGAAAAATCTGAAATCCAGTATTCTTCATCTGTTTAACCTTCGATTCTTTACATTCGGCTTGATGTCTATTTGATCTTGGAATAAGTTAGTCTCTCCACTGATGATGATTAGAAACGGTATAATTACTGCGGAAACTAAATTATCTGTCGCATGAGAGATACAGCCGATGAGCCATTCTACTTGCTATCAAATGTAAATTCCTGGGATACCACTGAGACACATATTCACAAATATAGTCGTCATCGTCATAGCGTGGTGAGAGAGAGCTGGCTGCAAGCCGAAAATTGTGGTCAGCAATTTACGTCAGTGTTACGTCCCGAATCAGAGTCATGAGAGAAACAATAATAAAGCTTAACCCTGAGGATCTCAACAACCAATCACACAGAATTAACGTGTGCAAATAGGATTCGCAGATATGTGCCTAGACTTTCTGAGAAACGGTCAAAAAGCAGTACAGTCTAACATTCAGCAAGAAAACAATCAACCAGAAGACGTTGCTTTTCTGATGACAATAATCTACATTAACATTTATCAACATCTCTTGATTTTCTCAATAATAGATCTGTTACCTGTCCCGTGTCTTCTGTCGTTACAGTAGATCTGAATTTAATTGGTTATTTCGATGGGTGTTCTACAGCGCTCATTTTGCATTCCTACATTCATATAACTGTTGTGATATATGCATGTGACACTTCACAATGTAAATATTTTATTTGTGAAGGAATGACTTAGCAGATTATGGATAACCACAATGTATACGGAGAACCCAACACTCGATAGAGATTATTTTACACAAAGTAGTGAGCCATACTTATGGTGTAAACGTTTGTAATACTACAAATTCGGTGGTATGTAGATTGATGACATACTGGTCAAATGTACGGTCCCATGAAAATCACACATAGTCCTATGGTCTAAAGTTAAAGGTGAGTATAAGCAAAATTCCGATTCTCTCAATCTTTGTGCACAGTATGACGCATAATTTAGTCCACCGAGATTCGGGATATCATCAATGATAATAGTCAGTCTGCTTTGTCTTACTCCCGTATTCACTTCAAACACCTCTCCGAGTTTTCCGTTGTGGATCACCTGACACGGGGCACTGTCAATTAGCCAGCTGTTGAATAAGGTCGATAAAGATTTTGGCACTGCACGCCATAGTGTCGAAGTAATCTCCAAATTACTACTCGTTCAGCGCTGTCGAAGGTCTTTTTAAAGTCGATGAAATTGAGGTAGAGGTTTGACTGCAGTCGTTTCTCCAACGTATGTTTATACGGAATGCGTTGATCTTGTTGTACGAGTAAGGTGAACATATTTGTTCTGGACACAGAGATAAGATGTTTCGGTATTATTTTCTTACTCTCTGGCTACTCTACCTATGAGAGATTTCGTTGAACTCCTCTTGATAGATTAGGGAAAGCAAAGTATATCACCTGAGTCGCCTACACTGATATTCACTGTCCAACAAGTGACATAGAACTGGGCTATTTTTGCATGTTGCTTCCCGTTTAAACAACAATACTGGTTATTGATGTGTATTTATGTGAGCGCTTCGAAAACGCTCTCTGGGTGCTTTCTGTGTAACAAGCTCTACACGAGCAGTTGAACTAATAGATGTGCAATGAAAATGCCATCATCGGTAATTTACCCTTGACTTGCTGTGTGATCAGTGGTTTGGTTAAGCAGATGAGTGCAACTTTAGCTGCACTGAAAGTTCTCTCGACAGATCTGTTTAGTTAGCACTTTAGGAAATCAACTAAAGAAGCATCTCTGAAAGTTAATCTGTGATGATGCAATATTCCGTGATATACAGTCTCCATCAATACCTCTTTCTGTGTCTCGACATGCACCTGCCTGCGATTTGCACTTCAGCTTATACATGTCTTAATGTATGCAGTTGTCGCAAAATGTATTTCTTGTTCTGTCGCTAAGACACTAGTGGGTATCCTCAGTCCTGAAGCAGTATGAGAGCATGGAAATCGATATATTCTCCAGTTCGAAAATCTTTATGAGTATATTTCTGTGTGAATACCAGTATATTTTCTGAGTGAGGAGGACATCTAGGGGAGATAAACTGTTTGTCTGTCCTTCCTTTCCAGTGAGCTGCCCAAATGGATAAAGACATCATCTATACACCGACAACAGCTCAGCTTAATAACGGTGTTTTCAAACAGACGTGTAGTGAAATCATGTCAACTCCGTCAACTTGTTTATGAAACCTGTCTTTATAGAACATTGACCGTTTTGTGGAGAGTTCTTATTTCTACCCCCCATTCTATGAGCTATCTCCTATGAGACTAACCAATCAAAGAAGTGAAACGTTACTAAGCAGTGATGTAATATACAGTGAAGTCGTTTGCTTTCTATTAAAAGTGAGAGTTTTCACAGCTTTTAAGAAAATGAATGCATCGTTCATAATAAACGGTACGATGTGAGTGTACTTGCGCCCAAGGGTTTTACTTCGTGAAGCCTGAACACAATGGTCAGATTTTATGTTGTCCTTAACTCAGTTGCATCTTTACCAAAATTTATTTTTTATGAAATTCACTTGAATCATCCCATCTGAGTCGAGTAGTCACGCTTATTCATGATGACTGCTGAACCCCGTTCTCTGTCAGTTTTCGCTGTTTTCAGATTTTCATCCTAATAGTACTCAACCACTGTCGTCTTAAATAAATGAGAGATATGGGAAGAACTTATTCAGTAAGTAACCAAAGCTGAAGATTCGAAGCTGTACCTTACTGAGAAACTAGTACACTGACACAGTAAGCTGAAATTCTGAATGACAATAAGGTTCCATCTACTGACCCTAAATTTAACTATCTAGAACTTCAGCACTATCCTCAGTTGAGCAAATGCATAAAGCCTACTGAGACACTACACTATGTGAATAAGTATCCAGAAGAAACGCAGAACTGAACAGTTTGTTCTGCAAACGTATTTATCTTGTTGTTAAAGTTATTGATCCTCTTATGAATGCATTTTTGGAGGGTTATTATTCTTAAGAGTTTCGCAGTTATAGACTATTTCGGATAGTGAAAACACTTTCGAATATTTTATACCAAATTATTCTGACTGACATTTTACTTTTCTACATCTTTTCAAGCAACGATATACTTCCTATTGTGATGGGAGCTTCAATTGAGGAATACGAGAGGGTTGCTCCACCATACTCCTTTATTCACGTTGATCAGTTTGAATCACCAGCAAAACTCGCAGAATATTTGCATTACTTGGACAAAAACGATACTGCATACAATGAATACTTCGCTTGGCACGGTCATGGTATTATCCACGACTGGGATTCACAACCACAGTGCGCCATGTGTTTACTAGCACATACTTCTCCCCTGTTTGGACCGTATTGGGTTCCAGGAGTAGCGAGATGGTGGAATAGTGGATGTGATGAACGAAAACTGAGATGGGGATCATAATTGTATTTGAATGCTGAAAAAAACACAGATGTCCTTTGTTTTGTGCTCTTTCAAGTGAGCAAACATATCTTGTGGATGTTTACTTTTTCTGTGCAAATAATTTTCTTACACGTCTTCTTTCATATCATTGGTGATAAAAATAGTAAAATTCGGCAAATGCATAACGAATATTTTATCAAGACTATTGAAATCTCATCATCACTCACCTTCTCCAATTTATGTGAGAAAATATTTTTTACCGAAGATTTTCTACTTCTCTTTTGATAAGAAAGAGACAGTTATGTACCTAACTGGTTTTTTGTATTACAGTCTATCTTAACACTAGACTGTATCATTTTTAGAAATTATCATTGTACAATACCTACAACTGTTAGCAAAGAATGTAAATGAAAACTGTTTGGCAAGAAATAAACTCTTCCCAACGTGTTTGGTGTTTTACGCCTACATAGTCATTTCAATAGCATTTCACGGATTACAAGCGTAATGCGAGAAGTATGTTGTCAGATGAATTCAGAGGACATGGGATCAACTTCGTTTTGGCCGGGATCTCAGTTATTGCCTTGTTCTCAAAGCTTTGACCTCAGTTATAAACATATCCCGTTGTCTCTCTCGCTTTCTCGATTTAAGTTCACCAAGGTTTGTAATTCGGTTAAGTTGAAGTGATTCATCATAGGATCTGTATTTTATTTCTTTGTCATTGTCTGCTCAGAGTAATTTGAATGAGAATTGTATAAGACATGAAGGCCATCTCTTAGGTATCTCAAACCACTGATGGAGTGACAAGAAGTGGGAATAATGTCTTAAAATGTCAAATCTGTTTCGTGTCTTCCTGTATCCGTACAAGCACCAGCAAAGTAAGTGACGCTGTCAGAACTATCCAAGCAACTGTGAAGTTCCTTTGTTCGAGGAGAAAAATTTCGTTGTGAATTTTGCTTAATTCTAATTCATTTGCTAAACTCTGTTTTGTATATGTTGTGTGTGGACTCTTCTGAATTATATTCGTTAGCAATATTATTTTTAGAGGAAATCAATCATGAGTCACGAATGCTATGAAGAAGATTTGTCCCGACTGTGTCAGTCAATTTAATACTCGAAATGGGTGTCGTTATCATTGTTATTATTATTTTGTTATTTGCAATATGCATAAACTTATGTTTCGCACAATAATAGGAAAGTGGATAGACTTATCCGGCAGAAATAAACCTCCAGTGTTTGATTGAGGGCGATTAGTGTCAGTCATTTTTAACTACACATTATAACAATTGAAATCGTTGCGTATTGTATTGAGTTTTCGTAGTTTACTCACTCCATTGAGCATTGTAGAATTCTTACTATCGCTTCTCACACTAATAAATACTAGTGAATTCTCGATGATTCATCTCATTTGATAGATACAGGGACACTGATTCTGGTGCTGTTTAAGCCTATATCAAGGTGTAAGGATGATACACTCGCCCTTTGATAATTACTGAAGTATAGGCATACTTACTGGCCTCCACCACTTGTCATATTTTGTTCACCTGAAGACAGCTGTTGACCTCATCCAACGAGGAGTGCTACAGAAATGTCTGGCCGGGTGCAGTCGTCAGGATAAGTACATCGCACTAATCAAAACACTATACTCGAACCCACACATCCGTGTAAGAGCTTACGGAGAGGCAGTTTCCGTTTGAAGCGATGTTAACCACTACTCTTCATCATTGATATTTATTGTCCTCATTTTTGCTCAGTCTTATCACAAATGCATGGACAGATGTGCCCCTGATCGACTTTAGTTACCTATGGACTTTCGTGTTAACACGACACACTCGTCGAGTTAGAATAAGCAGACGATGTAATTCTTCTACGCTGTGATCCTGACAGAATTCGGTCTTCTGAACACCTTGAGTATAAATCTTGATATGTTTGGCATCCGATTAACTCCTGTCAAATGTAAGTCGACGTCACAGGATTGGTCTGTACCGACTGCTAGTTTGAAGATAAGGAGTGAAGTGATTCAGTGTGTTGACGTCTTATCAACTGTTGCTTTTGATGAGGTCTCTTTTATGACAATAGTTTCATTTCATACTGATTTTGAAACTAAGTATATAATGCTATTGTAAATGGACAGGAGATTTTAGTTTGTCAAATATGGTAGTAAACAAGCACAAATGAACTCTGTTTAGGTGTGTGACGATGACATCATGAAACTAGAATCCCAAGAATTGATGCTCACTCGTCTAGAAATCTATTTACCATGCATACATATGTATACGATTCGTGTGATCTAGTCTTCAAACAGAGAATCAGTGTATCTATCAGAATGTTGTTACATCAAATCCATACATTTAAAACGACTGCTAATTGAGGCGAGTCTCTAAAGTTCTTCATTAATTTGTGTACACCTGTTCACTAACACAAAAGCGTGTTATTGTTGGAATTCATGTACTGTTCATTTTTATAAGCCTCTTGAAATAAATGTTCACAACAGTTTACACATCTATTACGGTCTGTTAACCACACAATGGTGACGAGTCTGATTGTTTACTCCTGGTAGGATAAGGTGTACAGTCTGGTAACTGCAGTAAGCGGTACCTTGTGTTGTGAAACGGCTTAAGTCGACCTGCATATAAGCGGCGCTGAATTTAACATTCCGATGGATTTGATATTACTAATAATTATAAGAGTTTTATTTGGGCTCAGTTCAACTATAGCTTTCCAGGGGTACGAACACACGAATGACTTTGAACTCATGCTTATCTTTGGCCTGAGACACTTGCAATTATCACAGCTAAAATATCAACGTTATTCATCAACTCAGGTACAAATTTCACCCAGATAACGTTTTTAAGTACTGTTTGGAAAATGTTCTAATAGATCGTAATTATGTACAATTTTCTGGTGAGTGGCCGTCGATCCTCACACTGAAAACCATAGTAATTTAACCAACGGCTTATGTGGAAGACTGGAAAACAGGATGACAGAAATGAACGATTGACAAAAACAGCTCATCTTTAGTCACCTCGGTCAATTCATGTACAGAGACTAGTCTAACTTGAAATAATAGAAAAGATTTGTAACTCAGGTGGATGATTTGCAATTGATAGTGTTCTAGTCTAACTTAGCAACTCATACTCCTCACTCAAACTGTGACGTAGTTTTAAGTCATGTCACAGAAAGATATCCCGTTAGATGTGTTCTCATGCATTTTCTTGTTAATATACGTCAGTTTTAGTGCAAAAATTCCACATTTTTGGAATCGGTCGGCTCAAAGTCACTCGTGAACTTCACCTTGATTTGAACGGCACTCTCACCTACGATTCAAAGTTTTCAGTGTTTTATCTACTCCTTGTACAGAATCTTCAGTAAAATAATAGTCCACATTATATCATTCGACACAATATGTGAAGCGCGTTGCAACCTGTCTTCAAAACAAATCTGTGTAGGGGCTTTTCTAGCGAACTCAATAACAGAACAAGTATGCAAATCAAAATCCAAGTTGATGAGACGATAGCGTATCAATATATTATAAAAATTACAGTCATCAGTTATATTGATTAATCGGTTACTTGCGTCGGTGGCAAGGTGGTTAGGACTCTCGCCAACCATACACACGGTCCGAGGTTCGATCCCCTGCCGAAGCACACCTGATATCTATGGTCAACCTGCAGAATTTGGGCTTCCGATATCCATGCTGAAAATTCCATACTTGTACCAAAAATACAGTGTGGAATCAAGCTGTAAATCAGAAATCAGAAATAAAGTACACAGCCACAAATTATCGATATAATCCACAGAAGCGTTTACTGCTAGAATCGTGTCTACTGGTAGAAGCTGTGTACCAGTTGTACAATTGTGTTCGGATGAGGTTAAGATGTTCCTGAAAATTTCCAGAGTATACAACACGGTTATGAGTGAAGCAAGTAGACATTATAGACCAGTGAGAAGACCAAGTGGCCAACATTACACTGTATTTTAGATTGTACTCGCAAGTTATCTATATTCCAACATGAATCGTTATAAAAAAGGTCATGTACAAAGTCTCTAATTTCCACATGTAACAAAACGTGTACAATCATATTGTTACGTACTTCATACGCCTTACCCAACCAACCCCCACATCAGAGGAGCTGAGAGACTACCGGAGACTGTCACTGTTAGTGAAGTGCATAATAATAATAGCAATAACCATTTTCATGACAATAATAATAAGGATACATAATAAGATGTATGTACGTGAAAAGGAATTCGGGTCGCCTAGAGTTTGAACGCATTTACAAATAGTTCAACAACAAAAAGTGAAATAGAAGTTTAAGTCAATTAGTTGAGGTTGGTTTCTCTTTGCCAAAGCTATGAAAAAAGAAGGTTATTAATGTATAAGCGGAGATATCTATGTATACAGTCATTAGTGAGGATGAAGAGAGTGGATTAAAATTTGGTCGTTTCTGAAAAACACAGATACCTGTCTTGTAGCTGAGGTACAAATAAACAAATAAATAGCGATAATAATCATTTATGGTAACAGTGACACCAAAGTGTACGAAAAATAGTAATTGTCATGATAATAATATCTAAACGAAGAAAATGCAATTGTTCTTATCAGTCCACAAAATGAATGTAGCGGGCAGGTTTATTGATTTGCCGACCACTACGTGTTTGATATTGACGATGGATAAGAATCGGTGCCGTTGGAGTCGAATCAACTGTCTGATAATTTGGTTGTTCAGATATCGATGTAGCTTCGAGGTCGCTGTCTGTGTTGGCTGGTTTGATTCGACCAGTGGAAATATTCTCCCGTTTTCCATTTTTGTTCATTGTAAAGTGTTTATCTGAACGTTTAATGACTTGGAAGGAACCTTCGTACGGAAGTTGCAATCCTTTTCTGATGGCGTCGACTCGAAGAAAGATGAATTTGCAAGTTTCCAGGCGTTTGTTTACCTGATCTCGTCGGAGAGATTGTCGAGGTGTTATTGGTTGAAGTTGAAGCAATTGTCTAGGTAGTCGACTGGTGAAGTCAGCAATATTCACATCTGTCGAATCAGCTGAGGGAAACAGCTATCAAGGCAAAATTGGGTTAGTACAATGAACAAGTTGAACTGGTGTACATCCTGAGTCTTCTTTGATAGTAGATCGGATACCGAGTAAAATCAAAGGTAGACATTCACTCCACATAGATGTATCGTTCTGTGCCATCAGGGAGCTTTTCAGTTTTCTGAGAAATCTTTCCACAAGACCATTCACTGTCGGATGATAAGATGTCGTCGAGATATGTTTCATTCCAAGAAGTCTCGTTAGTTCTCGAAACAGATTTAATGGAACAGCACAGACAATAATATATATATAGACATATATACATATAGCAGGCACACTGGGATAAGACGTGAAAAGAAGAACACAGACTCGGATCGAAACACTTTATAATTACCATCCGTCTCAATAGAAGAAGA